AAGTATGTCACGCCAAATTATGCCATTATACATGAGCTCTCTTATTTATTTATTTATTTATTTTTGCATTACAATTCTTAATATACCTTTATACCACAATTTATCATATCTCTGTATATAAGATTTGTTGACACCAAATTCACATCTTCATACATGTATTTTGTATCATGAATCTTGTTTACTTGCTTGGGATAGAAAATTAGGTGGAGTTGTGTGGCTGAACCTGCTCTAGTTATTTCACCTATTCTGTCTGTGCCTGGATAGGGGAAAGGACCCATAGGAGAGATGAGATCAAGATGGAAGATTAGCCTTCTGTCCCAACCTTCCAGAAATATTTTGAGTAATAAGAAAGATGTATAATAGAAAATTTGATTTCACTTGGCTAGAAATTATAAGTATTCCTGAAAGTCAGTAGAAGAGAATTGAAGGTGGAAATCATTGCTCAAAATGTGGGCAGGAGGACCATGGAGGAGGTAGTGATGGATTCGGGAGCACTCCACGCTTAGTGGATGTGGTTACACAAGATCAGGGAAAGCCTGGGTAGCCATCGTGGTGAGGTCTGGAGTTTGTGAAATATACAGTATCTTTCCCATAAAAATCTTCTTATAGTGGACATTAGCCTGAATCAGCTTTAAGAACTGTTCCTGATGCACTTAACATTTCTAGGATAAACTATTTGTATTCATGGTGATATTTTTTATACTCCATTAGACCCAATTTTTTATGTTCCTACTCAAGATTTTTCTTGGGACACTGGCATGGCTCTTGGACCAAATATCACTGCTCCCAAGGGAAGGTAGGTGCTGGATTGCTTGGCTATTCCTACTGACTGTCTCAAGAATGCTGGACATGGTAGTGCATGCCTGCAATCCCAGCAACTTGAGAGACGGAGGCAGGAGGATCATTAGTTTGAGGTCAGACTTAGTAAAGCTCTAAGCAACTTAGTGAAATCCTGTCTCAAAGCAAAAAGTTAAAAAAAAAAAAAGGTTCTAGAGGTATAGCTCAGTGGCAAAATGCCCCTGAATTCAAGCTTCAATATTCAAACATACAAACAAAAAAACCTGGAAAATATGGCTCAGAAGTCAGTCACTACTCCTGCTTTACACAGCTGATTCCACAGCTAGAAGTCTGTATTGCTGTGCTCTATCTGCTATTGGACACTCCTCTGCCCTTGGGAGCTGCTGCCATGAATAAATTCTAAACTCTTTCTGTATCTTTGCATCACTTGTTGAGAAGCCAGAGTCCTTGGCTGAAACTAGGTCATGCACCGTGGTCTACTTTCAGGTCTTGAAGAGTCTGGTTCCAGCCTCTACCAAGACTCATACAGTGGGGGATTCTCTCCAAGTAGGGAGGAGGATTGATATTATATACCCAGAACAAAATAAACTAAAATGAGACCTTTTCTATTGAGAATATTTGAAGTCAGAAGCTCTTTTAATGTAACTCATAGACGAAAAGACAAAAATCATATAATGTTTTCACATTTCTGAGAAGAATTTGATAGAGTTATGCCCCATTTTTTATTAAAAACCAGAAGAAGGAGGAGAGGAGGAGGAGGAGGAAGAGGGAACTTCTGTTTGATAGAGTATACGTAAGGGCCATGCAACAGCCAATTAACTTAGTGATGAAATTTTAGAAGCTGTTCATTAAAACTGGGGAGAAGCATGCCTATCCTCACAACTACCATCTATCCTTCAGCTGAGGTACTAGCTAATGAAGTAAGAAAAGGGAAATAAATATGGGGAGACATTTGAAAAGGAAGAACCATAACTCTTATTTGTAGAAATGTGATTATCTGAAAAGACACCATAGAGAAACTATTATAACTGTTGAGAGTTTAGCAAGATGGCTGGGAATAAGACTAATGTGGAAAAATTAGTTGCTTTCCAATACATTAGAAATAGCCAGTCAGAAAGTATAACAACAATGGAATTATAAAATACTTAGGAGTGGGCTGTGGCTGTGGCTCAGTGGTAGTGCACTTGCCTGGCATGAGTGAGGCACTGGATTCCATTCTCAGCACCTCATGTAAATAAAAAAATAAAGGTCTATCAACAACTAAAAATGCTATTAAAAATACTTAGGAATAAGCCTGTATGAGTTTTCCATCACTGTGTAACAGATTGCCACGTGCACAGTGGCTTAAGCATACCCCTGTTTATTATCTTTCTGTTCTCTAGGTCAGAGGTCCAGACTGACAAGGCTGGATTCTCTGCTCAAGGTCCCACAAAGACAAAGAAAAGAGTGTTGGTCTGCTGGTCTCTTATCTGAAGACTATGGGGAAGAATCTTCTAGCCTCTTTCAAGTTGTCATCAGAGTCCCATTTTGGTGATGGTGGTACTGAGTTCCCCTTTCCTTGTTGGCTGCTAGCTGCTAGCTGCAGGCTACCCCTGCTACTTGGGACTGCTCAGATAATTTCTCAGATGTCCCCTTTCAATTTTAAGTGGCAAAGACTTTTGGCTCCTTCTCAAGCTTTGAATATCCTTGACTTTTCTTCTGCCTTCCCCTTCTGCCGGAGAAAGTGATTTATATTTTGGAGCCTATGTGATTAGATTAGGTACACTCTGGTAATCTATTTTAAGGGTTGCTGTGCAGTCATTCAGTGATAGCTAATCACATTCACAGGTTTCCAGAAATTGAGACAGGACATCTTTGGAGGGGAGTGGGCATTTGTAAATTTTGCCCGCCATGAAGTCTAAATAAAATTATATGAGACCTACATATAAAAAAAAAGTATACAATTTTTTTTTAAACATATAAAAGAAAACCATGTTGGTTTTATTTGGTAAATATTGTATCATTCCCCTCTTCCAGCACACATCCATTCTGTCAATCCAATTTAATTCCAAATTCCTAGCAGAATTGTTTATTAAATTGGCAAGCTGATTCTAAACTTCTAGTAGAGAAAAATGTCTAAGAACTGGCGAAGGCAATTTTGTAACAGAACAATGGATGTCAAATGAATGATATTAAACTAAATTCATTAAAATATTGGGGATGTTGTTCTGAATCTATGAGAGAGAATTGAGATTTAGTAAATGACAAAGTTGTTTCAAATCAAAAAATGGAAATGGTGGCCTTTTTAGTGAATGGTGGTACAGTTATCTATCCATTTGGAAATAAAGTTAGGCCCAGATCCCAAGCACAGAAATAATTTCCAGATGGGGTAAAGAACTAAATATACCAAGTAAAATTGTGCAAGTATTAGAGGTACCAGGAGAATTTGCTCATAAACTTTGGAAATGCAGTTGGCTACTAGTAAGTACACGAAAGAGCACTTACGTTTATTAGAGTCAGGAAAATATAAATAAAAATACCCCCCATCTTTTTCTCAGATTGGAAAACATTTGTTCCATGCAAGTTTTGGCAAGGGAGGGGGAACATCTATTCTCACTGTGTGAATTATAATGGTCTTCTTGGCAATGCCTGTCATAATTTTAAATATGTATATTCTTCAAATGAGTGATTTCACTTCCAGATTTTTACCTCAGAGAAATACACGTCCAAGAGCGCAAAGAGGCATTTGCTAGATGTGGAATTGTTATTGTAGCAGAAGATGTCTAACCACCTGTCAAGAAAGGGCTTTTTGTTTTTAAATAAATTGTTTAGTGGATTTTGAAAAAGGGACCAATTAAATATAACCAGCATAATTTAGAGGAACACAAAATACCTAAGGAATTTTGTAACAAGAACTGTCTTCTTCACGTATGTACTATTGTTACTTCATATCACTCATTTTATAATACATTTAATCAAAACATTTCCCTTCGGTTAACAATCCATTTTCTAAAAGCAGTGTAGTATTGAGTCCTCACCCTGGGTGCATGAGCACGTAATAGTAATTTTCTGAGGGAAAATGCAGTTGATCAAAAGCCCCTACTTTATTGTCACAAGGCATGACTTGGAGATTTTTTTCTTGCTACCCTGCTAGTGATGGGGCACAAGAAAGGGAAGTTCTGACTGATCTGTCCCTGGGCAAAAGTGGATCATTTTCAAGATCAGTGTGGTGTGTGGAGTAGTACCTGATGGTTAAGTATTTCTTATATGTGTGAAAAATTGGATCTTTGTTTTGGTGCTGGGGATTGAACCCAGGGTCATACATATGCAAGAATCTTGAAGCATCAGTGTATGTATCAGGAAGGGAGAGGAGATGGTTAACTTTTTAGGTAGGTGTCAGCATTTTAAAAGCAGCCAGAAGAGCTGGCACAGTGGCACACACCTGTAATCCCAGTGGCTTGGGAGGCTGAGCAGGAGGATTGCAAGTTCAAAGCCAGCCTCAGCAAAAGCAAGGCGCTAAGCAACTCAGTGAAACCCTATCTCTAAATAAAATGCAAAATAGGGCTGGGGATGTGGCTTAGTGGTCAGAGTGCTTCTGAGTTCAATCCCCAGTACCCCCCCCCCCCAAAAAAAAAAAGCAGCCAGAAGAAATATTTACTTTATGTCTCTGCTTATGTGAAAGAGATCAAGTAAAATATTTTCACAAGGGCTTTTCAGAACATTAACTTTAGCAGCTTTAATCTAAGGGTTTATTATTGAGGATTGAAAAATAAAAGCTCTGGCTATTATTATTTTAATTTTATATATCTTCTGTATTTTATGCTTGTGAGAGTAATGGTGAAAACTGCTTTTAAAAATGAAAAAAATGTATGTTTTTTTTTAACCAAAGTGCTCTTTGATGAATTTATTAGATGTTCTTCATATCTTTATCTTTAAATAATTTTGTCCAAAGATACTTTGTAATCCCACAAGAAAGAAGCTTATACTAATTTAACAGTCAGTACTATATAAGAATTATTTTCCAAAGCAGCTTCTTTAATAAACTTTAAATTACATTTGTCTTTGTAATTGAGGTAAAACCTAAAGAGATACTGTGGTCTAATAAAAAAGGTTCCATTGTGAAGGAAGCTCATAAATGATGAGAACTGTGATTGTATCCCACTGAAACACCAGACAAGATACCTTGTGAAAAAAAACAATTGAACTGTGAATTATTTTTGCAGAAGTCAACAAAAGGTTCCATTGTCTTGGACCATGTCTTCCGTCACATAAACCTTGTGGAGATAGATTATTTTGGACTGCGTTATTGTGACAGAAGCCATCAGACGGTGAGTACAATGACTTCTTATTAAATTTGTCTGCTTATAAATTGTGCTCTCTCTGGCCTTTTGGATGTGGTCCTAGATGGTTAGGTTCTTTGTAACGGAAAATGACTGATAACCACAAAACTGTTTTTCCCTGGTAATTTCTTTGCATTCTCCCACCCTTTTTGGGCAAAAGTCTGAAGAGTTGATGGACTCGTAGTTTCTTTGTGTGCAGTCCTCTTTGTAAATGGTTTATGTTGCTTCCATTTTTGCAACCATATTGAAGTGAAGTGCTTTCCATTTTGCTGTTTGGGGTATTATATAAGAAAAAAACTGTCTAATCTCTTGAAGAGACAGGCATTACTGCCTTTGAAGAAAGGAAATGGTTTAAGAAATACATACAGTACACAAGTGTTAAAAAGGTGCCTATCTAAGTTTTAAAAGTGGTTTGAACTGTTATAAAACAAGTAGGGGTTTTCATTCATGAGTCTGACAGAGGAATAGCTTTCTAGAGGTAAGAATAATAAAGGCAATCTGGCTTTTGATTCAACGTCAGTAGTTCACATGGTTGACTTGGAAGATCTTCCTGTTTGGTCAGATGGTAGAGAGTTAGAAATTTGCCACAATGGAAAGATTTTAGAGGTGATGATTTTGGAGGATGAAAGGATATTCACTAATATGACTTTTGGTTTAGTCTAAGGAAAAATCTTAGCCTGAGATAGACACACTAGGATTATGCAAAATGCTCCTATGCTTACCTTAAAAATACCTGATTTGACTTGCCTTCTGTTTTTCGCCCTGTGCAACTGTTGTTGGACTAAAGATTTCCTCCTCTTTCTTCATCAGTTTTCCCAGTCTCCACTAGGCCATTTGAGATGCATTCAGCGAAGAACCTGATTTTTTGAGTGGTATTTCTGTGCCCTACTCCAGGAATGTCCTAGGGTAAAAGGCAGGCAAATAGAATGCTGTTGATGGTGATAACTTGTGGTTTCTCATGAGCTAGTCTATTCCGTTTCACAGGAGGATTTAACAAAATAGGAGTAAAAAGTGGGCATGTTGGGTAGAATGGTGTAGAAAGGAATAGCTTTCCAGAGGCAAGTGGTCATTCATGTGTACTTCAAAGAAATGCAACAGACATGTTTAGAAGTTCACTGAATTCTGTCTCTATAGCAGAGCTGTAAATCTATACTGAAAGATTAAATTGAAGCCAATAGAATGTACTTTAAATTATATTCATATTTCATAAATAATATTTTCCCAGCAGAGAAAAATACATTTTCCTGATCTTAATCTAGTATGTCAGAACTTGCCTGGGAGGGTTAACTGTCTTGCTAAAATTGTATAGAACTTATTACCCTCTTTTTTTTTTTTCCCCAAAGAAAAACTGAAAAGTAAAGAGAATTGCAAACAATGGCTCTTACTGTTTCAAAAGAATTAATAGTGTTGATAGTTTATTGAAAGTTTTGTAGGGTTTATATTAAGTCCAATTTTTTTTTCTGTTACCCTAACTCCTAAGGTTTGGCATCTGTGATAGTGTTTGTAATACAGGTTTTAGGAGAAAATGAAATTATATGCTTAGAAGGAGAAAATTATTAAGTCATGTTTTGATGTGGTTAGAACATTGGCTATATAAATGACATGAAAAAGTACTCTTTGCTTTCTGAATTTGCATTTTCTCTAGTGAACTCAGATAAAATAAAGGTAAACAAAAGGAAAAATAGAGATGATTTATAAGCATTGTTTAGTCTTGACATGTTCAAATGCATTGTCTGATTGCCTTATAGTACCTTGTAGGAGACTTTCAGAATACTGTCATGAAATTTTGTAAGTATTTCAGTATATTAGTAGGAGCAGCACTACATATACCATAGTTACTTAAAGCAAATAAAAAAATTTAAGAATATCCTTATGTTAGAAGAGTTGGGATATAATGAAAAATACTTGTCTTAAAAACCAAGTAATGGTTTCCTGAATGTTGCTTGAATTACTGTGCATTAGATTTTTTATATTGCTTTTCTTTTCTTATGCCCCAAGATTTATTTTTAAAGGGTAATGGCTATGTAATAATGCTCAGTAAAATGAATATCTCCATTAAGATCTACTTAGAGAAGACTTTGAGACCTGAAGATAGACCACTTAGGTCAATTCTGGGGGCACATAAAAGGAGAGAAAGTGGGAGAACCATGGATCAAAGGGAAGGAAGATAACTAGGAATGAAGAGTGCTTACATCAGTGAAAAACCCTGGGATCTTTCTCCTTTCCCTCTCCTGCCATTGGCAATGGATTGTGACTTGGAGCCACGTTGAAGTCTGACTTGGATTGAGGCCAGTGCCTTTACGTGTGAAAGAAGAAGGCTGGAAAAGTAGAGAGGATGTAACAGTGGAAGCAGAGGTTGGAGCAGTGTAATTACTGCAGGGCACCTTGAGCCAAGGAATGCAAGCAGTCTCTGGAAGCTGGAAAAGGGGAAGAAATGGATTATACCCTAGAGCCTCTGGAGGATAGGCAGCCCTTACCTGCATTTTGATTTTAGCCTGTGGGTTTCATTTTGGACTTTTGACATATAGATTGTAAGATAATTTCTGTTGTTTTAAGCCATCAAATTTATGATAATTTGTTATAGCAATGGAAAGAAACTAATACTCATGGATACTGTAGGGGAGAATCTTATCTTGCTTGCCCAGTGGGAATATAAAGCTGTATTATTTGGGTTCTTCACACTAGGAAGAAACCTGAAACACTATTACTCTTCCTGAGTGATAATATTTCATGTCCTCTGATACAGATGATTAGGATTTCCTTGTGATTAGAGCTGTGTGTGCTTCCCCAGATGTATGTGAGCAATATTAGTGGCTGCTTCAAGAGTATTTAGGTACCTTATTATGGGAGATGGATGGTGAGTTCAGTTGATGATAGGCAGAGAGTTTAAATTGTAGCATAGACTCCTTCATTTTAAATAATTGGAAGAAACTGGAACCACCTTTTGGGTTTTCAGATTTTATTAGAAGTGGAAAGGCAGGAGAATCACAAGTTTGAGGCCTGGGCAACTTAGTGAGACCCTGTTTCAAAATTAAAAGTTAAAAAAAAGGGGGGCTAGAGATATAGCTCAGTGGTAGATTACCCCTGGCTCAATAACCAGTACAGGGAGAGGGAGAGAGAGCGAGCGCGTGAGAGAGTGTGATATGGTGGAACAGATTGCTGCCTTTAGAGTTACAAGATAGATGTGAATCCTGTGTGTGCTCCTAATGAATGATCAAGTCACTTAATTTTTCTAAATCTTGATATCTCTATTAGTCACGTTTCTGTTACTATAATTAATACCTTAAGATGGGTAACAAATAAAGCAAAAAAGTTTGTTTATTTACCCACAGGTTTGGAGGTCCAAGAGGGTAGTGCTGGCATTGAATCAGCTATGGTGAGGGCCTCATAGCAGAAAGCTTTATAGTGGCAGGAGTGTGTGTACAAGAAGGAAAAATCACATGGATAGACAAAAAGTGGGAGAGACTGTAGTGGGACTGAGCTGGCTCTTCTATAACAGTCCTCTTGAGAGAACTAACCAGGCTGCAGTGAGAGGAGCATCAATTCCTTCTGAGAGGAGTGCCCTCAGCAGTCTAATTGGTTTTCACTAGATGCCACTTTTTAAAGGTTCTACACCACTTCCCAACACCACCACACTGAAACCAAGTTCCCAACACATGAGCCTTTGAGGGACACATTCAGACCATATTCAAACCGTAGCAACCCTTACCAACATCCTTATCTGTAAATTGAGAATAAAATGCCTATTCTCCCTAACTTTCAGAATTGATGTAAGACCAAATCAGAATGCATGAAAGCTTTGTAGATTATGAGGTTTAAAACATGTAAATGGTCTTTCTTTTTGAAACTAGCCTAGGAGAAAATATTGCTGGTGATTTTTTTTAAAAGTACAATAGGGAGAAGAAGGGAACAGTCTGGAGGAGAGAAGAAAAAAAAGCAAATAAACTCCAGAGTCTTGAGATCACTTTTGGAAAATTTTCAAAATGAGTTTTGATGATTATTGGAAGCAATAGTAAGGATAAATGGGATATTCCAAAACTGCTTCTGGTTTTATAGTAGTAGGCATAATCATGTCTTACTTTAACATTAGCACTCCTTTACAAATTACTCCTTCAAAGGCAGAAGTCATATATAATTAGAGGTTTTCTCAGAAAATGGAACTCAGCATGGCTTTGAGAATCAGGCTGCGGCATCTGCTGCCCTTTGACTTCAGAAGTCAAAGAAGGGGGAATGCATGAAGCACACAGCTAAAGGCAGTATGTAATATCCTCTTTCCCCAATGAACTCTTCCTTTGGTTCTCCAAGACAATAAAAGCAATCAGAATGGAACTTTACCTTCTGGACCAACCTCCACCCCAAACATACTTAGTTGCTTCTTTCCATCTTTTTCTCTCTGGTCACAAGAGAAGAGTCCCAGGGCCTCTGACCTGGACCTTGTCACTCCTTGCTTTTTCTCTCTGGTAGCTCTAACTTACCCTTCCTACCCCCTCGTTGCCATCAGTGTTTGGGCATGTTCAAGTCTTTGCATTTAGATTCCTCTCCCTCTACTCCTCTGCCTTTCTTTTTATTGCCATTAGTTGACTCTGTCACACCTGAACTCCAGAATGCTTTGTCTAAATTCATTGCCCCTATTTCTTAGATCTCACTCATTCCTAAATTTCTCACAGTTTAGCTTTGAGCCTTATTGTGTAATTGAAACTGCCACCCACCCCTCGCCTGGGAGACACTCCAGCCCTCATCTCACTTGACCTTTCTGTTACGCATTGACACTAAAGAATCTTCTCATTTGTTCTTATGACACCACATTCTCCTTGCTTTGCTCTTTTCAAATTTTCTTCTAGTCATTTCTGTTCAATCTCTTTCATGATCATGTTCCCTCTGATTATTCCACAAAATGTTAACGATTTACCAGGATTTTGTCTTATTCTCTTATGTTCTAACTCTGTATAGGCTCACACACTTAATGCTACCTCTTACGGTACTATCTT